TTAGGATAGATATATAGTTACATTCTCTTAATGAATAGAATGATTTGTTCTAATGGTGTTTGTAAATAGGATCTCAAGTCCGCATCTTGTACAGCAATTAGCCACTAAGAAGAATGTATGCAGTGTGTTAATTATTGAAACTGTCCTAGCAATTTGATTTGAAACTGTCTCATTGCTATTTGTTTATCAATAAAATTATGAAAATAAACAAAATCAAAAAGCAAAACAAAAAACATAAGCACATGACTTAGAAATGTTAAAAAATGTTTGGTGTAATTTTATTTCAAAAATTCGTTACATATGAAGATTAATATAGTCATACCTAGCCAGGCTGGCCAAGAAAAGAAGAATAAAATGCAACTTAAAACAACAACAACAAAAAGGCTAAACACAAATGAGTTGAAGTGAGGGATGAAGCTAATAAAAGGTTAATGAACAACAACAACAAAAAATAATATTTTAACAAGGTTTAACAAATAATTCAAAGCAAGAAAATTTCTAAAATCTAGAAAATTAGATAATGTACCATCTGCCAGTTATTGCTGAGGAATAAATGAAGTAATATTTACAGATTATATAGCACTGAGCCTCTGATCTAGGGAATCTTTCCCACATGTTACCTGTAATTACGGGTTTTGTGCCTTGTGGTCAGGCATGTTGTGCCCTTACCAATAGCTCCAGCAGACTGGTTTTCACTCTTCCTGTGTCAGAGCTTCTCTCTAAAGCCCAACTTCTTAGGTCCTGCTCTCATACATCTCTTGAGGATGAAGTGACAGGGGCTGTGAGGTGACCCCACACTTCCTTGCTCCTTCCGCTCTAACTGCCACACAGTGGAGACAGAGAAAGTCTGATCTTGGGAAATTCAGTACAGAATTTAATATCCTACACAAGATCAGGACAAAACACCAAGCACTGACACATTGTTCTACTTTACTCTGGCATTTTTCTTAAGACCCTAAGCAGAAACATTATTCATTTTGAGGAAAATTAATGAATAAAGGGAACAAATCGTGAATACCAAATTTTATGACTATCGAGAATAATTCCCTGTCCCATTTATTTTAGGGTGATGAAATGAAGAAACTGGGAATACAACCCATACCTATGATGGACAGAGACAAGAAAGATGAAGTTCCACAAGGCCAGGTATGGATAGTTACAGCTGACTTGTGAAGTCAGATATAAGTTTATGGTGAAGTCAGATATAAGTTTATGGTGATTCTAACATCACCTGTGAAGAGAGAGCATGTGCCATTTGTAGTAAGTTTTAAGTGGAGGGACAATCAATCCAGGCCTGCTAATTTAATGAAAAAACATAAGTGACTTATCCTGTATAGGCTGAGCACTGGAGGAATGCCCTTTACCCTTGAGCCTTCCTCCATGCCAGTGAGCCTTCACCTGCTCAGGCGTCCTTAAGAATCCCATTTGCATGATGGGAAAATAGACTCCAAAAGTTTGTGCTGTAATGTAAGTCCAAGGGCCAACTCTGACTTTCTTCCTTGCTCCCAAGGCTGAAGTCAAAATGGAAGCTGGAGGGTATGGAGGGATGGATAGAAATTCTTGAGGTCTCCACTGGCCCTCAATTTAATAGTAGAAGACTCCGATTAGGAAAAAAAAAAAAGTTAGGTTGGGAATCCTAGCTAGATTTCACAGGCTCTCAACTGCTCTCCCCCGATGGCACTGCAGTGAATAGTTGTTCTTTCTGACACAAAATCCAAGGGGTACCTTTGCCAGGTGTGCACTAGTGTCCTTATTGAGGGGAACTCATTGGTGCCCTTCATCTGACAGTGCGGCTGACACCTCTGTCATGCATGACACGTGTATGTATTTTCAGTTTGGTTGCTTTGAACATTGCCTATGGAACTCTTATATATACAGATATAGTTATGTAGTCTTTCTTATATTCTGTCTGCTTTTTGGTCATATTTTTAAAGTCCTTTTCTACCCTCGAAATAAATAAGCATTTTCATATATCCTTTTTAGTTACTTCTTTTTTCCATTATTTACATTTGGTTGTTAGTTCATTTGGAAGTTATCGTGCTACATGGTATAAGAAAAGCATCTAACATTTTTTTTTCTTTTTAAGTAATTAAGCTGTCACACAAAGAATGTGCAGGGTAGCTGAACATTTCCCACTGATGCTGACAGAATATGGGTTTTGTGCTAGTGCTTTTAATTATAATGATTTTTTATAATAATGTGTTTTGCATGGAAATGTTTTAGTATTATATATTTAATGTTGGCTGAAGCAAGATGACTATCAAACATTTAAGGCCAGCCTGGCCTTCACAGTGAGTTCAAGGCCAGCATGAACTACATAGTAAGACCCTGTTTCAAAGAGAATTTTTTTTTCTATTTTCTGGGTTAGCTAAGATTTTACAAACTATATTATTTCTAAATTACTGAATACTATGAAATTATTTTTTGTCATCATAATGAAATTCTATATTTTCCATTAATTAATCTTTTCTTGGAATTTTCTGCTAAGAATTGCAATAAGGAAATCTCTGCATGGGAAACAAATTTAAAAATTGAAACACATAGGCATCAGTCCAGAGAGATAACTATGGAAATGATGTCAAACCTGGAGTCATACAAGGAGAAAGCAAAGAAGAATCATAGATTTGATTATTTTATATCCTTTCATGTAGTTCCTTGAAGTTCATTTATTTAACAGAAATTCATAGGTATAGTTAAGGATCACCTCAGAGCCAATTTTATCTCAATACATGTTATCAAATTATACTGTACCTGAACAGTACACTGGCCAGTTTGTATAAATAGTCACTTGGGGCAATTTCCATGAGCTAGACAATTTGTGTTCCCCACCTGATAGTTTCAGGATCTTTCACATCTTGCCTTCCCTAAACCAGTCTAAGGTAACTTCATTTATTTACAAGTGATTCTGAATTCCTGAAAACTATTCTTTAATATATTTTTATAGTACCACAGAATTTAAAACTGTGAAGCCTAATAGATCAATAAAGGAATAACTTGAAAAAGATCTGATGAGATCAATGATAGTTGTAAGTGAAAAAAAAAATAAAATAAAATAAAAGGATTGAGAAAGTAGCTGGACACCATGCAATGTGCCAAAGCCAAGAGTAACATACGAACAAAAACTATTGTGGTACTTTGTAACATAAGGCTGGAATAGGGTCACCTATGTAGAAGAGCATGTTTGGCTTTGAAATGTCTTCACTGGGCCAGCAGTGACAAGAGGACTTGAAGTAAACTTAGCTGACCTATGAGTAGAATCTCACGTAACCCAAGCATGCTTAGATTTCAACACGTGTGACTTTTGTAATACATCTTCAATTTTATGTTCTATTTCTAAGATGTAGTTTGATGCACTTTAAGCCATAATCAACAATAGTATACATTGAGCCCAGATATCACACAAGGCAAAACTGAAACATACATGTTGCATAGTTAGACTGCAGAAGAAGAACATCTAAGCGTAAATAGAACCACTGACAATAAATTTGTTTTTTATGCATGACTTTTGCCCTGAGGCAGATCGGATTCTACAATGCTGTCGCCATCCCCTGCTACACTACGCTGGCCCAGATCCTGCCTCCCACAGAGCCGCTGCTCAAAGCCTGCAGGTGCGTCCTGGGATTCAGCCTGGAATGAGATTTTAAAAACCTGTGTGCTGCACTGGAGTTTTTACCCCATCATCTTTGTGAATGTTGTCTTAACTGCATCTTATAGTGAACATCACAATCAGTTGGAGCGTTTGTGTTTGCCTAGGTACCAGCAAGGCCTTGGGAGTCTCAGGTGGTCCTTTTTAACTAATCTGCCCAGGGATGCTTTCTTCTCTTCAATTGACCGTCATCAGAAATGGGTTTCAGACACAGCTGATGCTTCAGCAGGCAGGACAGGTGACAGAGCAGTCAGTGCTGGGGGCCAGGGAGAGCCAGTAATCAGATGAGTGACACAGAGGTCATGGGCAGAGTCAGGGACATTGCTTCTTACACCTGTCCTCTGCCTGGGCCGGAATTAGAGTTTCTTTACTAAAGGGAGACAGGCTCTTTAAAGGCACTGTGTTGAGGGGCTGTGCATGTCATATTGTGCCGATGGGCCTCGACTCCCGCACACCCTCAGCAGGCTCTGTCCTATAGCCCACAACCCTGGGAGATGCTCAAGCAGCCTTGCCATCCCTAATCCCAGAGCTAGCTGTGTTTATTCAGCACACTGTACAAGTGTGTGAAGGGTACTGATTCATAGTCATCCATGCACCAAGAAGAAGCTTATTTTCAATCATGCAGAGGGCCCCCCCATACTATTTTTAGTGAAAAAGACAAGACAACAGTGTGTCTTAAGCAGTGCTTATTAAGAAAGGCAGGGGGCTCAGATTAAATTAGAGTTTACAAGGAAACCTGAGCGGAGACCTCTTCTTCTTTAAGCATTAGTTTGCCTTCCAAGAGCAAATTTAAGCCACCTGCTATCTATTCCAGGACTGAGATACCCCCCATCTTTTCTCAGAGCTAAACTCAGTTAAGAACATGAAAATTTGTGAAGTATTTTTACTTTATTTTTGAAATTGTTTCCTCTGAGAAAAGGGGAAGTGACAGCATTCCTTACATGAGTTGGTGTCCAGGGGCGGATCCTAACTACTCAGCCGGAACTGCCCTTGGGAGACCAGTGAATACACCCGGGGAAGGCAAGGCATAGACATTTAGCCAGATAGTTTTAAACAAAGCCCAAAGTTAAGTAGTGTACTCCCCCTGGCTGCTATTGAACTTTCTTTTATGTACTATATTTTTGTAAGGTCAACAAACAAAATGAACAAGCAAATACATTTTTTTAAAGGATCTCCCTGGGTGTTTTTTATTTGTTTGTTTTTCCTATTTAAAAAAACATTTTTGTTTCCTTTCTGCTGGGAAGGTTAATGGAACCTCCCAGTCTTGGCCAACCTGAGTCAAAGGTTAATTAGAATCTTATCCTATTACATAAGGGTAAAGTCATGAGGGACATTGGAAAGTGTGAGCTAGGACTTCTCTCTAGTGGGATTCTGGCTGTAAAAGTGAGTACACATTCCAGAGAAGTTGAAAGGTTAGCCTAACTCCAGACTAACAATTTAAAAATCTTTCCTAAGCAGTAGTCTAAATCCCTTTTCCTCCAGATCATTGTTTAATACTACATATTCAAAAGCCGAGAAGAACGAATGGTTGTCGTGTCCTCCCTCATGCAGTGGACCACTTGTCGTGTCCTCATGCAGTGGACCACTTGTTGTGTCCTCCCTCATGCAGTGGACCACGTTACTGAGGCACTCTCCCTAGAGAGCTTTGTGAATGTGACATTTAGCTGGGCTTGCAACTTTGATGCATTCCTGATTTAACATGTTTGGCTGACCCACCTAATCACTTAAGTCACATTGTAATCTACTACCCTTAACACATTCAGCATGTTACCATTGGTGCTCAGGGAAACAACCAAATTTAGTATATGTCTTTCCAATACAATATATCAGAAAAATCTCTAGGATCTGAGCACTGAGACCTGGTAGTAAGTAAACTTAGAGAAAAAAATGAATTTTATCTGGTTTTAACTTTGCATAAAAGAAAGAAAACTGGAGTTGCAATACATAGCTAAAAGCTCTGCCAGGTTAGCCACAGAGAGTAAGGACAGTCCTGCTGTTAGGCTAGGGTGCTTGTGTATTACCTCAAGGATGTGGAGAGAGATTAGAAGGCTGTGGGAGAAAGGAGGCTGCACTTCACAAGGGAGGACAACAGAACCCAAATGGGATTTTACTGCAGTAAGAAAATTTCAAGTATGTGGCCATGTATAATTCAAGATGACTTTTTATGTGTGATACAGTGTTCAGAATACAGGTGCTTAGATGAGAGGAGAGAGGGTATATATGGGCCCCTGGGAGCTATGCTTTGCTGCCCCCACCCCCTTCCCCATATCCCCACAGAGCTGGAACTGGAAAGTCTGCAGCTCCTTTTGTTGCTAGGTGGGGTTGCTCTCCCACTCTGCCATCTCCTGCTTCCTGGCAGGAAGTCCTGGGATTCACCCTAGTCAAGGTCGTCTGGGTAACTGATTCAGAAACAATACTCCAGATCCCAAGATGGCATCTGTCTTTGCAGATAGCTCAGGCTCTTTTCTGAAAAGACTGTGTGAGCCTGGCTGGACAACATCACATCACTGTTACAAGGAGCCACACTGTAGTCAGTCATGCCCTAGGGCCACTCTATCAACTTTCAAGATAAGAGTCCAGAAACTCTCTTTAAACTTCCCATGTGACTGTTTCTTTTCTCCCCAGGGATAATTTGAGTCAGTGGGAGAAGGTGATTCGAGGGGAGGAGACTGGACTGTGGATCTCTACCCAGGCTGCCACAGCGGAGGGTGCCTCTGAGAAGCATCCTGTGAAGACCCAGGAGTGATGGTCATGGACCAGACGTCCCACTCAGCGGTTCTCATCCTGCTTCTTTGGCACTTTCTCCTTTTAGTTTTGACTGGGAAAACCTACACCTGGTGACTGGAGTGCAAACTCTTGAAGAAGGGAACATTGATATGTCTGTGGAGCAGCCAGCTTCCTGCCAGGCTCATGACACATGAACAGACAGTGAGCAGCCAGGACCGCTCTGTGTTAGACGTCCACAGGCCAGCAACTCCACCGGACTCTTGAGCACCCTTTGTAACAGGCTAAACTTGTGGAAGCCTTACTGGGAAGGAAAAGAGATAACTCTGAAGGGTACTCTCCCTGTGAATTTCCACAAGGGTGTAAATGGTACTACTCTAGTATTGTACTTTGGGTTTAACACCAATGTTGCTTTGTTCTTATTGGTTATAAATAGGTTCTTTTACACATTACTGTTGTGAATGTTCATGTGTGGTCTCCTTTTGGTTAACTTGAGTTGTAGCCCACAGCCACAGGACAGCGTCACAAAGGGGACAGAGTAAGAAGTGATAGGAAAGGGTAAAATTCTTGTTGCACAGCTTCATGATTTCAGGTGGATCAGAGCACATTCTCTTAGGTGCATTTTAGCAGAGGGTGCAGGCAAGTCCCTTGCACACTAAAGGACGTGGATTTGTCCTGTGAAGAGGTGCAGGTGTGCATCACCAGAAATCTCAGCACTTCCACTCTTTGTTCATAAGATGTCAAGGAATTTTCCAAACTTTCTTCTTCATTGTAGCTGTGGCAAATTTACTGAACCCTTTGCATAAAGAACCAAATAAAAGCAAGGTATACTATTTTTTTAAACAGGTCTTGTCAATATCAAATGTGAACTTTTAATAATGATTCTATTTCTATTTTCATTTTGCGTCATCGTAACATTTTTGACTCATGTTCAAAATAAAAGGTTTATCCTAAGTCACCATACATTTCTCTTTAAATCATATTACAGTATCAAGTGTGATGTAGTTTACTGTACACAGCTGCATTAGTCCCATTTTGTCCCTCTTGTCCACTGTTCCATCATGCTTGGGTCGGTACTCCACAGCCAGCCCAAGGAGGCAGCAGTATCACCACAAAATCCCTAATTCCTGTCCCCTTTTACTCTTCTCACACATAAAACATCTGCATAGGAGCTACATCTTGGCAGATTAACACCACTGTGCAATATTAGTATAAAGTCGAGTAAAGCCCACGACAGAATCATCTGGCTCTCCTCTGCAAGCATCCCGAGTTACTTCTGGCAAGCACTGCCAGGCTTGTTGCAGTATTGCACTGATTTCCTGACTCTGCACTTGGTTCTCATCTGAAGGAATCAGAGTGGCAGACCAAGCCACAGCAAAGAACTTGTTCCTGTTCTCATGGCAGAAATATTAACATCAACAATATAATTTTAACGTGACATTTCTGCAGACTCAATACTGTACACATTGCTATCCACATGAACTTTGTATTTGCAAGATTGAGGTTTCTACAGCATGTTTTGTTTATGCTGTAGAGAGGTGGCTATAGACAACAGTATTCTTATTTTAGATTAACACAGTGTTCAGTTTCCATAGGGGCTTCTAAGGTTGCCATCTTCCCTACACGGAGCTCCACTGTAACTATATAATATGGAATAAAACAATGATGAGTGAAGGTCTGTACACACATGTATGTAGGCACACATAGATGTATATATGATGCACATTTGTGTACGAGGACATACACCTGTATGTATATGATACACACATATGATACATACACATATGAAACAGGGAGAAAAAAGCAAACCTATGAAGCATAAAAGTCACCCCTCCATCCCCAAGCAGTGGTTTTTGTGTTAGGACATGGCTAATGCTTGATTATAAGTGGCTACAGGGTGTCATTTTTGCATTAGTGCATTCATAAGACTGATTCTAGTAAGTTGCATATTTTCCCCCTACAAATTTATGAAATGGATCCCACCACATACAATTTGATTCACACAAGTTAATCATCTAAGTTAAGCTGGAAACTGAATTTCAGAAGGGGTATTAAACATTGCTTAAGTAAAAGGGTTTTAAAAGAATGTGTGAATTGTGCTTCTTTATATGGAGCAGAACAATAATGGTGAAAATCGCTTGGCTTCTTTGCATCTCGAAGTTGCTGAGCTAATAAGAATAGTACAGACACTTGGAGAGTGTTGAGTTCCATGACTTCTGCTTTGGAAACCTTCCCAAGGCTATTCATGTGGATCTGGTGGAAAGTTAACTTCTTGGAGATAAAATGGACTGTGTGCTCCTGGGAACTATTAACATAGTTTTTTACTGGATGTAACTGACTTATTTAGGAAGCAAAGGTTTACCAAAATTGAAGAGCCCACTATACATAGAGATGATGCTTAGTTAATAACTAGTTTGGGAAGCCATTTAAATCGGGAACATTTTGGCAAAATATATTTTTCAGACCAACTTTTGGGTTCCGATTCTCATGTTTTCTCCAAATCATTTCATAGATGACAGTGTGATACCAGAAACCAGACTTTTTTTGTTGCGAGAAGACTGATGAATTTCTCATTAAGATGGTATTTTATAGTAGGCCAAGCTTCTATTGTCCAGTATAAATTTGGTAATTAGTCATGAGTAAATAGAATGTTCAATTTTCAGAAATTTACATTAATTTATTATAGACAAGTTTTATGATCACATGCAATTATTCCATCTTTTCAGACTTTTTAACTCAAAGATGTTCTTGGAAATATAAATACATACAAACCATGACATAAAGTATCTTTTAAAACTGCAAGCATTGTATTAATTGGCAGCTGACTCTCTACAGCACTTAACTAGAAAAACTCAAAAGAGGAAACTAGCCCCTTTACTATCATTACCCAGTTCTAGTTATGTCCAAGAAGCATGCAAGAAACCAGTGTTGGCAAAAGACCGTGTGGAAGTGCTAGATGTCACCGCTGCTCCTGCCTCCTTTGTGGAGAGGGCTGTGCACAGGTGTCACTGCCACAGTGACTTGCTCCTGGTACTTGTTCCAAAAGCAACAAAAACAGACTCATTTGAAACTAGATTTGTTCTGTGTAGGTTTCCCCCTTTTTAGCATGTTTAAAAGTTTTTAATTTATACAATCTCAGTGAACGTTCTTTTATTGGTATGTTTATATACGCTAGATGTGTTTGTGCAGGTTACACATGTGTAAATGCAGATATCTGGATTTCTAAATAACTCCTTATATGTGGTGTTGTATTTCCTGTCTTTTAACTCAAGATTAAGGTTTGAGCTTTAATAGGACTAAATTATCCACCATGGCTTGGCCTGTGCCTTTATTTTAAATACTGAAATTTTACTTTTCATTCATATATTCAAGATTTTGCTTTTCTTGCCTAAGCATAATTAAAAACATTTAAAGAGATACATCCCTGGTTAACTTTACCAAGTCGAATGAATAGAACCTTCCTGTCATTAGACCCCTGTCCTTCACTTGACTTCATTAACACATACCCTTCTTGACTGCATCAGAGGAGCTGTTCAGATTCCTTCACTGCCAGGACTTCCAAGAACTGTGACACTGATGATGATGTGATTTTTGTCGGGCATCAGGTACATAAGCATGATTTGGATTGTAAAAATCACCTCTATATATATTTCAAATGTGTTTGGTTTCTAAACTTTTCTGATTTGATTTTGCTATAACTCTGTGGAGACTATATTCATTTAGTCATTTTAGTGGATTCCTTCTATTGCAAGTATTGGTCTGGCTTAAAAATCATTGTAAGATTTCAGTTTGCTAAGAATGCTCTCAGTTACTCTGTCCCCATCCTCGCCAGTGCATGGCTGTTATATTTTAACCTGTGCGTAAGTATCCTGATAATACATTTTGCTGACTTCTTTAACATTTAGACTAATAAGTTTCAATTAGTGACACCCAGTGTAGCGTGTACCTTTTTTGTTGTTGTTGTCTTCTTTACAAGATAGTTTGGTTGTCTAAAGCATTAAGTGCATTTGATGGGATGATAAAAATAACAAAAATGAAAGAAAAATGTTCAACAGTGTTCTTGTTCCAAATTAAGAAGATGGAACAAAGAGAAAAATATCAGTGTTTCTCAAGAAAAACATTTATAATCTAAAGAAGCACCATGACAGTACTTAAAGTTTCTCAACCCACAGTGGAAAGCAATGTTCATAAGCTGCACAGTTTGCCTGCCCTTTACTGTAAAGTATGTAAAACTATAACTGAAGCAGATCTAGACTTTGCTGTCTGTTGGCACAAAGAATAATGTCACCTATGGAACAAAGTGGAATCTGGAAGCTTGCAGCTGGATGCAAAGCTTTGTGCATAGGGAAAGTGGTTTATCATTTCAATGATAAACTCAGCTAATAATTTTGAGGTACTGTACATTTGCCGATACTTATATGGAAAGTTTTATTTCTAGTGTAAGTTAAATTCTGAAAGCATATTATTTAATGCTCTAGCCCACCTGCAATATCATATAGACATTTGAAGCCTGTTTTTTACTTTAGTTACCCCAACACCTAGGTCTATGCTATGTCTTGTACAGCCAGTATAAATGACATGTGGGACTACTTTCTATATGATCTGTTGTATGGTGTATATGCTACGTGTTCATACAGTGTGCAAGATGAAAGTATGATAGATTTATACATAGAAGGTATTTCTGTACAATGCCCCTGTCCATTTCAAATTATATACTTGCCCAAAACACTGTGAAACAGTTACCAAATTTGTACAAATGCAGCATCTTGATTCTTTCAAGGAGGAGGTGACTTTCTTGATGTGAACATATGAGCAAAAGAGATTCTATATCCATACCTAGCCAAATCTTCTAGGGTTTACTTGGGATAATCTCCTTGCTGACCAAAACCTGCTGGAATGTAATACAGGTTTTGTGCTACCAAAAACACAGCACTCATACTAAACTGATTTGCAGTCAATGGGTCTGTATCCAAAGCCTTAATAGGCTCTCTTTTGGAAGGGGAAAGAACTTCAAGTTCACAATATCCAACTTTATTATAGTTGATGAGTTAGTAAATTAAAAAATGATTTTATATGTATGACATAAAAATATTTGTAAAATGCGCAAGTGCAATAACTTAAAGAGGTCTTAACTTTGCATTTATAACTTATAAATATTGTACATGTGTGTAATTTTTTCATGTATTCATTTGCAGTCTTTGTATTTAAAAATCCTTTATTGTTTGTATAATAGAACAGTAACCATTTATTAAAACTTAGGAAAGATGTAAATAAATTCATAATTCAAGCAGCCAGTACATATGCATATATGAGTGTTATATTGCAAAATCTGTTTTACTAACATGCTTAGAGCAGCAACAAATCTTTTGTTGATATGTAATTATACATATAATATATATATATATGTATGATACATGAAATATATTTAGAAATGTTCATAATTTTAATGGATATCTTTGGTGTGAATAATTGAATACAGAGTTTTTAAAATATCTTTCATGTTTATGATTTGCTCTCGTTTGTGGGGAAGACAAGACTTCGTGAAAACTCATTTCAAAGCATTCTAGATCTCATTTGCCTGCAAGACTCAAGCCAATACTGAAGTAAGGTGACTCGCTTTTGCTGTGGCCTAGCAGCAAAGAGGAGGAATTGAAAGTGTTAAATTTCTAAGATGATTCATGAGCTTCATTGTATAATTTTAAGGTTTCCAAAGACTGTTTAGGGAAATAGTGGCAGAACTAAGGACACTAGTCCTGGCCTGACCCAGCCCTCATCCTCATTCCCAAGGGCAAAGACTTTTCCAGCCCCTCCCCAACACACAGCATCAGGAGGAATACAACTCTAAGGAAAAAGCAGGCCTACAAGGAAGGGGGGACATTTATGGTTGCATGTAAGTATAGTAAAGGACATTCTTAGCCTAAAATGTCACAGTAGTCTGCAATGACAAGTATTCTACAAGTGTACATGTGTTTTTTGTCTTTAAAACACTGCTTAAGAAAATAGTATCTTTATTTTGGCTATCCTGCTTGCCATCAAGAGGGCAGGCACATGTTAAACATTTAAGAACAAAAGTTGAAAGTTTGATTGTGTCCCCAAATCCTCATCTTGAACATGGAAGAGATGAATTTGGGAATAAACATTTGCTGACCTGAAGATACTACATTGCTAAATGAGTGTACACAGCCTTATAATTTACTAGGCAACGTAGACAACCATCCAAATGGGGTTCTTCCTCAATACCAACTCTGATGGAGGGCCTTCCACATTCAACCTATTGTATGTATTATTGATAGAATTTTTGGTAATATACATTTCCTAGGGGCTGGGAAGATAGCTCAGTAGAATAATCACTTGCTTGGCAAATGCAAGGTCTTGAGTTCAATCCCCAATACCGAAAAAAAAAGTAGTAAAATTCATTTCCTATATAACCAAATAGCATGTTACATGTTTACCCCACTAAAAGTAAACTCCATGAGCTAATACATCTATAAAGTTATTTGGCAGTACAAGTTAGCAAAAGGCACTCTGCACAGATGATGTGAGCTTGAATTCCTGTCTTAATTACATAGACATTGATTTTCATCAATTTGATTGTAGAAAGTTTCAAGAAGAGAACATTCCTCCATCATATCTACTTTTTGGTGGTACCAGGGATCAAACTCAGGACCTTGAGCTTGTCAGACAAGCACTTATTCCACTGAGCTATCTCCCCAGCCCCAACCATATCTATTTTTTAACATGGAATGAATCACAACAACAACAAACAAATACATTCCATCTAGTATGTGGAAGAGGGGTGCAGGGAAGGAAGTTGAGGTGGAAGACAGGACAGGATGCTTCTGCAGGTTTGTGTTTGATTTCAACTCACTAGAGGTTTTGATTGTTGCCTTTGGTGCCTGTTCCTTTCTGCACTCATTACTCTCATGATCAGAATGAAAATGAAAATACTTTTGTGAGCACCCCATGGTGTATTATGAGTGTCCTTCCTGCTTCAATAACTCTACCCTCCTTTTCACAAATGTCACAACCTCTTTTGGGTAGGGAAAGGCTTCCTCTAGTCTCCTGTGTCATAAGAATGGGCCTTAATGGGCCTACACCCAGGTAGCAGTACAGAAGGTAGTGTCAGGTGAGTGCTTACTGTACCAAGCTATTTTCCACTTGTATCAAATTCATCCTCCAGGCAATTCTGTGAACTCTGCATGGTGTTGACCCTTTGCCAGATGTGGCGAATGAAGCGCAGAGAAGCCAAGAAGTGAGTTACATTGTGAGAGCTCCAATGTAATTCAGGCCTCTGGTCCCATAGACAACAGATTAAGCACAGAACCACCCCCAAACCTACCTGTTTTAGTCCTGCTTTGCACAGGCTGCAGCTTGACTAATATAGACAAATACAACACTCATGCAGCAGCTAAGATTCTGGTCCTCACACCTCTTAAGTCTTGCTCCTTACCACCTGAGGAAGAACTCAAAGAGGACACACAAAGTATTGTTTTTTCACTTTGAAAATAAGACCTGGAAATTCACAGTAAATGAAATCTTAAGAAAAAATCTATAGATATTGATGAGCAAGCCATCTAAGATGCTTCCCTGAGGTTGGCCTGGGGAGGGAGAGGAGGAGGAAGGTACATGAGAGTGAAAGTCCCAGGCTCACTATGCTCCTTCTCAAGGGCTTGATCTTTCTTTCCATCTGAAGTAACAACAGGCCTTGGCGATTGTGAACAGGGAGAAAAACTGCAGATCCAATCTGAGGACACTAATGGGGACTCTAACCTGATAGATCCTTTTTTCCTAGAAGTTCAGAGAGTGTGACACCACTCACAGTTGAAGTCTCACCTCTGAGCCACCAAGACCAGGAAGCAAAACTGAGCAAGTTCTAGACTCACCTCCTGGTTATGACATCAAGACAAATCTAGAGAACCACAAATGCCACCTGGGGAGGCTCCTGCCAGATCAGATTCCCTGAAGGAATAATACAAGGAACCAGAAAGCACCACTGAGACAAGGGAAAGCAGGCCTCCTGCCCACTGAGCCATCCCTTCTACTATCCCATGCTCAGGACTCAGGTAAGGAGAAGCAGACAAGGCGGGCAGGATGCACCAAGCTTAGTAAGAATTTGCACCAGCACAATGATGAAGTTAAGGAATTAGACAAGAAACTCAAGGCAGATTAAATAATGCTATATCAGTCCACACTTGTATTCAAGGCAGGTGGAATATATGAGCTGTGACAAAAAAAAAATACAGCAAATATTCACATTTTAAAAATGTAATTGCAGGGCCAGGGAGATGGCTGAGTAGAGTAAGTGCTTCCCTGGCAAACACAAGGCCTTCTCAGTTCCGCAAACAAAACAAAACAAAAACCATAATTGCATTATCATTCTTGCCACTTTCTGAAGCAATTCTGAGAGTATTCTTTTGTGAATATGTTCAGGAGCCCTGTGTGGCTGCCTCAATGTCCTCAATTAATTCAGACATTTATCTTTCACATCATGTTTACTTGGGCAGGAGCCAGAAGTCACATGGAGCCACTCCAGTGGATGAGGAGGACAAGGACATATTGGGATGTTTTTCTTTAACAAAAATTTCAGTAAACATTGGGTCAAAAAGGAATAATCAATAAATAGGGTGAATGCTAAAATTTAAAAAATGTATTGCATTAAAAGACACAATACAAAGGCCAGCGAGATGGCTCAGTGGACTAAGCACCTGCCTAGGCAAATGCAGGGACCAAGGTTCGATCCTAGGTACCACATGCTGATCAGGCCCAATCCCTGGCATGCTGAGCCTGTGACTGACCACTGGGTGTGGTGTTGCACGCCTGTAATCCCATGACGAGGAGGCTTGAAAACAGGAGGATCATTATGAGTCTGAGCTGCATAGTGAGATTCTGTACCAAACATATTTTAAAAAAGACAATGTCATAAATCCTCCTCTAAATATTCAAAATTATCCCCTTAGTTTCAAATACATTCCTCCTATCATTCTTGGCAATATGTCTTCTAGGGTGAAGTTTTAAATTTAAATAGCATGTACTAGTACGGCCTATGCTGATTCTTTGTTCCAATAGCTTATTTAATCTGTAACCATCTAAGGCCAACTGAAACTTATGCCAAGGCAGTGGCAAGAGTGATACAGATTTTCCCAAAGAGGAAGTATGAGGGACATACTGTACTCCTCTCTGAAGAGTTGCTTTTCCTTCGGGAGAGAAATGCTACACTATACACTAATCAGGTTAGCCAGCTATTTTTAAGTTCTGGAGGAAAAACACACAGGAAGAGAGAGAAAGACAAAGACAGAGATGGAGACAGACACACAATAAGAAAGATTAGAAGAGGGGCACTCACATAATATGAATACTGAGCAGTCCCAAGATAACTGGAGATTGAAGAAAGTTGGTGACAGCAGCTTCAGTCCAAATCTTTGGAAAAGCAGACAGTTAATAGCGTAAGTTCAAAAAATAATGCAAGTGCTGACTCAAGGCCAGAGACCTAAGAGCCTGAGGTGCTGAGGTTACCCATGTCCCAGAGCGATGGCAGAAGAGTAATATCTCAGCTCATGCAGCCAGGCAGAAAGAAGACTTTCATTTTTCCCTGTATTCTCCTCAGAGCTACAGTGGGTTGGATGACACCCCTGACCTGTGAGTCACAGCTCTGATAGACTCCAGAACGTCCCCATTTGAAGAATCTGATTGGCTTTGTGAACACACACACACACACACACACACACGCACGCACGCACACACACACACACACACACGTGCGCGCGAGCAAAAATGCCCTAGAACACCTGGCTCCGTTCCTGTAGCTAGCCAGGGGAGAGAAGGGAAGGAAAGGTGTGGTACCGCTCGCTCCCTCGGAAGGGAGCGCATTTTCAGAGTTAACTTCCCAGAGCAACCAGTCAGCTTCTTACTGCACCCTAGTTCTTTCCAGCTGGAAAAACTCAATACAATCACACGTTTCAAAGTTCAGGAAAGTTTTGTTTTTTCCTTGCTCTCCCTCGGCTACCCTGAGCACGAAGGATAAACTACGTGGTCAAACACAGGCTCTTATGTTCCTTCAGTGTGCGCTCACCAATGCTGGCCAAATTATTGAACCTTGCCTCCTCATAGATTTCTATCCCCTGGGAAATAAAAGTAAATAATGATATTACACCAACTCGATCGTTTAGTGAATGACTCCACATCAGAGCTACAGTCGCAGGGCAGTTGGCAGGATTCTGCGCCCCCCCCCCCCGCCCTCACCCCCCTACGACCTGCGCAGCTTTACAGGACATGAACATGATCAGTCGCCTTCTGCTCCACGAGTTTTGGAAAAGAATCAGATCCTGAATACTTTTCCCGCAGTTTTAATCGTTTTGATGGTTTTCAAAGCATAGAAAACGTTACAGTAAAAAGTAAAACACTCCATGCTGTGCTCCGAGAGGCAGTTAAAAGGGGTGGAGGGGAAGCTGGGGCTTCTACTGGGAGGCAGCATAGCCTCTGGGGGATGGGGTTCTGAATGTTTACGGTTCCCATGGTGACCGCTCACCTCAGCAGGGAGAGGCAGAGCGACATGGCGAAGGATCTAGAGCCTAAATGTAAGCGGACTGTGAGTGTCTGTGTTTGAATCTTGGTGTTTGGTGCCTGGGAACAGGGTGACTCCGGCCCGGTCACGAAAAATGGAATTTTTCTGAGGGGACTGCAGATTGCTGGGATTTAAGATCAGATCTCTGGTATGTGGCTCTTCAGACCTGAAGATAGGGGCAGAGAAAACTGTGAGGTCTAGAAGGGAGAAAGGTAGGTAAGGGGTGCGCCCTGCGTAGCGTGTGGGAGTGTGGGGTGAGTAGTGTAAGTTGTGTACTGCGTGGTGTATCTGAATGCCCGAGTGTTCGGTGTGTGCAGGCGTGTGAGTGTATGTGTGAGTAGTCGGGAGGAGGAAGAGGAGAGGAGGCAGGCAGATCTGCGACCATTTCAGGGCACTCTTCCTACGAATGCGGGGCTTTTCTGGGGTCTCCCATGGCTGCCACTGTGGCTGCTCACACTGCAATAGCCCCTCTGAGCTAACAACCCACCTGCTGTGAGGGGGTCCAGTCTCACACCTCAGGCCTCCCTCTGCTGCAGCTCCTCTGAGTGTGACGTACAGGAGGAGAGTCCCACCTTGAGAATCCAGTCTTCGCTCCCAGGAAACACTGATCCCTGGTGCAGAGGAAAGCTGGGAGCACCGAGCAGAGTCTTCTTGACACAGTGTGTGAAGATGGTCCCATGTTATGTTCTTGAGCTGCCCTCAGCACTGTGCACCTGTCCCAGTCAATGGGTATGCTAGGAGCCAGGCAGTGACCTCTGGAGATCCCTTGTACATGTCTGCTGCCACTGGCAATGGTCTGCACACCTGAGAGTGGGGTGACCGCATACCTGTGAGTGGAGTGGCCACACACCTGCTCCAGGTGCTGGGTGGACACACCACCTGGGACTTTGCTTGCATCTCCCAGCTTCTGAGGCGTCTTTCTCTTTAAGGAACAGGTGAAGAACTCAAGTCTATATGCCCTACAGAGGCCTCTGGGAGCAGTCGGAAGTGTCTTTCCTTGACAGTCTCTGGGGGTCCCTGGTGTGGTTAAGAATACTTACCCCAACTCCAAGTGACTGCTTCCCTCTTGTTTTTTCCCTCATGGGACACCAAATCTACCCTTGGAAATCTGCTATATCCTCTTTCCTTTGTTCTGCCACAGTAATGCATTTCTGAAAATGCAAGACTGAAAATAGCACCCAACATGAGTTTAGTTCTGTGGTTCACAGGGCTGCATGAGCCCACAGGGATCTGCTTAGGGTTTCTCTGCTTGAGCAGAGGTGTTAGTAGCAATGCACACTTTTTTGGAGCCCTGAGATGAATCCTTCCCAGGCCCTCTGCTTCACTGTATCTCCAATTTACTCTGGCAGAGGACCACAGGTGTCCTCTTGTTGCTTTTAACCAAAGCCTTTCCTAAGGCCTTGCACTGTGACCTCAGCCTCAGAGCCAGTCTGGTCATAGGATCCTGTACTTTTGTTGAAATCTTGGAGTCCCTTCTAGTCCTCTATTACTTGGGACTATAGCTAAAGAAGCTTCTCCGCTTTTAGTTGCGTTTACAGTTAGTTTGGGTCTATCCACATGATGGACAAGACTATCATTTTAAAGTCCATCTCCTGAAATGTACCAGCAAAGTCCCCTTATCACACACATGAAGGCAAGACATAGAGACCTGCCTCCCATATCTGGCACCTGAGAAAGAGCCTCAGGTAAGATCCATCCCTCTGTTCCTGCAGCTCCCCTGCCCTCTGCAGTCACCACATGGTGACTTGTGGCACATGGTGTCCTCCTGCTGAGGCACTTATATGGCAAATATGCCACAGAACTTAAGACTCCTGGAGGTAGGATTTTTGTTTCATCTCCCAAGACACACAGCTCACAGTTAGGCATACAGAGTTTGTATTATTCTTCAGAAGTCTGGAAACAGCACTTCTTTCCCACATTGATTCATTAAGCAGAACAGTGATTGTGAACCTTTCATGAAGGTTCTAATACCAGTAACACAAAGTTCATTCTCTTGAGAATTTGTAAAAATAGTTCTAGATGAGTGCATAGAAGGCAGAGTGTGTCCAGCCACCATTCCAGGGCTGTCACTGGGGTCCAGGAAGAACCAAACAGTCCACAAAGTTATGTAAGAGTTTTGGGGTAACAGAGGACATGGGAGGGGTCCTCTGTGTTCCCTGGGTCTCCTCTGGCGGACCTGCCTTCCTGGGGATCCACTGGCTCTGCTCTGAGTTCTTTCCATTGACACCTCCCAGGGTACTTGCTGGCTTTAGGGAGATAGGATAGGGATGGTCCTGAAAGAGCACTATGGAATTCCACAGATTTCAAGGTTCCAAGTGAGGAGACAATTCGGCAGAGCTGCGAAAGTTTTGGCTTTGTTGATTTACTCTTTATTAAAAATTTATTTATTTTATTGACACACACTTGCAGTGTAAAATGTTCACATGCATAATACATCTTAGTTTCTTCTTCTT